CAAATTAGTTTGACACAGGTGTATGTAAGGGGTGTAAGTGCATGTGTGTGCATGTGTTGGGTGTGAGTGTGTGTGTATGGAGGGGTGTTCCTTAATTAATTTTCCAACTTCGTTTTTGAGATAAGGGCTCCCCCTAAATCTGAAGCTCACCAGCTGTTTAGGCTGCCTGGCCATCAAGTCCCAAGATCTTTTCATCTCTGCCTCACCCCTGTGGTACTGGAGCTACAAAGGCACTCGGTGTCCCTGTACCCCGTTTTCTATGTGAATGCTGGGGATTCAGCTTCAAGTCTTCATGCTAACACAGAAAGCCCTTCCCCGAGTCACTTCTCCAGCCCAGGTTGGTTTGATTTTTAGCCACTATTTATCAGTTAACAGATGTTCGCTGGAAAATGAACATGCATTTGGTAGCTCGGCAAACGGAAAGATCAAAAGTCTCTATCTGCCGAACAGGGCAACAGTTTGTTCTTCAAACACAAACAGCCTGGTCCCAGATTGCTCTTACCTTTTAAAAGACGGTTCATTCATCTGTCCACAAAGCAAATATTTACTGTCTATGACATGCTAACTCATATTCTCTGTACTAAGCTCTGAGCGCTGTACCTGGGGGGGGGGTTGTTAGGTGGCATCAGGGCTTTCTCATGATGTGGAGGCTTGATATGGTGCTATTTCTGTTCAGGTCTACAGGGAGGAGCTGCCCTTCATCGGAGGAGATTACAGCTCATCCTTCTGGGCCTGTGCACATTGTCTCCTCAGGATGGAGAGTGAGCTAGTCTTGCTCTCTTGAAATGGACTGCAGAAGCAGCAGTGCGTTTTCTCTTTATGATTCCCAAGTAAGGAATTTCTAGACACCAAAGAGATGGGAAGAAGGGAGAGCTTTCAGGTCCTTCCCTATGGAGTACCCGTGTTCAGCAGGGACCCGAATGCTGGGTGTGGTGGCTTAAGTTTGATAACGAGGCAGAAGCAGTCAGATCTCTGTGAATTTAAGACCAGTTCGCTCTATCTGCGTGGTCCAGGCCAGCCAGGTGTACATAATGAACCTCAGTCAAGAAAAATAAAATAAAAAAGTACCAAATATATAGGCACTCTCAGGGTAGAGGCTATAGCTTAATTGTGACGACAATTTTAATGGAGATGTGGGAATTTTTATCTCTTATAAGAGCCCTTGGCAATGTCTAGAAAGGTATTTGATCATTGCAACATGAGAGCTGTTAGCGTGCAGTGGGTGGAAGGCAGGGGTGTCCCTAACCTCTATAGTAAACAGCTCAGCAAAGAACTGTCCCTAGTGCTGAGCTGGAAAAAAACGCTGCCGCAAACCAAGGGCTTTGTCTTCACCCTTTACAGATAGGATGCAGTGGAATGCTAGCCACACTTTTTCAGTTAAATGTGGTGCATGGCTCTTGGTGGACTGGACTGGAGAGACAAGGTCTAAATAGAAAGATGGCAGGCACAGAAAAAGAGTTTCTGCAGTGCTTCCTGCCTCTTAGGTTCTGGACTTTTATTTTTGTTTTTACGATATTAAGAACTCAACTCAACTCTCACATATGCTGTGCAAGTGCTCTACCACTAAGCTACGCTCCAGCCATTTGTAATAATTTTTAAATAATTTTTCAGGCTGACTCTGTACCCCAGACTGGCCTTGTGCTACATTTATCCTGCTTAGTCTCCCGAGTCATTGGAATTACCAGCTTCTGCCACTGGGTTCATTTCTATTTTCTGCAATATACATTGTATTTAATTACAGGCTCATATTCATCTGAGATCTATTTCTTGAGCACCTATTGTGTGTCAGATAAAACTCTATGGTCTATTTATAGACTCTACACTCATAACAGCAGTGTCTGCCTCCATAGAATCTGCAGTTTCCTCACACAGGGAAAGACTGGTTCATTTTTGCAGACTCATGTGGTCTGATGAGAAGGAACATTTTATAAGACTTGGTTTTGACTGTGATCTAGGATGTATGGTATTGAGTAGGGAAATGTATACCTATGAATATTTTCATAATTAAAATGAATAAAAGCTGACATTAATTTGAGAAAACCGTAGCTATCCGTGTCTTTAAAAGCTGAACTTGCTGTGCTTTTTGTTAACAATTTTATGCTGCACATTTTCCTAACATATTACCTCAAAAATTCAAACATACAGCACAATTAAAGGCTTGTGTAATGAACAGAAGACTCCCACCTCAATTCCACCATTAATGGTTCCCTTTATTTACCATATCACGCATCGTTGACTCTGTCTACCTGTGTTAGTTGCTGTTTTGTTGTGATAAAAAAAAACCTTGGCCTAGTGGACTCACAGAAGAAAGAGTGGCTCTGGCTTACTGTCACTATGGCCAAAGTCCATGGCGGTGGACAAGCAGGGCATCTAGAGGTAGGCAGGGGCAAAAGGCGGAAAGCTGACGTCTTGAACTGCAAATACAGAGCAGAAACAGCAAGCTGGAAGTGATGGAGGAGTTTTCTGACAGCCAGCACCAGTGACACACTTCCTCTAGCAAGGTCATATGCCCTAAACCTTCCCCAACAAGGGTACCGGCTGGGGACAAAGTATTCCTAGGTGGGAGCCATGGGGACATTCTCATTCAAACCCTACATGACCCATCTGTCCCGGTTTTACTCTGTTGCTGTGATAAAACACTCTGACCAAAAGAAACTTGGGAAGGCAGGGGTCTATTTTGTCTTATATTTCCAGGTCACAGTTCATCCCTGAGGGGAGTCAGGGAAGGAACTAAAGGCAGCAGCCTGAAGACAAAACTCAAGGAGCAATGCTCTTTGAAGGCTCACTCTCTGGCTCATATTAATATCGTTCTCTTATCTTATCCAAGATCGCCTGTGGAAGAAATGGCCCTGCTGATAGCGGGGTGAGCTCTCCCACGTGAGTGAAGACTATCCATTATAGACATGCCTAGAGGTCCCCTTGATAAAGATAATTGCACAATTGAGACACGGTTTTTCAAGGTGGCGCTAGGTTGTGTCAGTGCCCTAGTCACTCTCTATTGCTGTGAAAAATCACCATGACCAAGGCAATTTATTTTTAATTAATTAATTTTTTATTTTTAAAAAGAAAATAAACTATCTTTTTTTCATTATACATACCGATTCAAGTTTCCACTCCCTTCCCTTTTCCCATTCCATCCATTTACCCCCTTCTCTACCCCCTACCCACGCCTCAGAAAGGGTAAGGAACATTGCTTTGGGGAAGACCCAAGGTCCTCCCTACTATATCTAGGCTGAGCAAGGTATCCATCCTACTTACTCATAAACAAAGGATATTGAGCTTTATGATCCTAGAGAAGCTAAGTAACAAGGTGAACCCTAAAAAAAATCTAGATCCACCTGGAAAGTTGAAATAGACAAGATCACTTGGCAAAATTGGGAACATATTGGTGGGTGGAGAAGGGAGGGTAGAGGAGGAAGAGGAGTGGAGAAGAGGAGGGGCGAGGAGAACTTGAGGGAGTGGTATAGTCGAGATGGAAGAAGGAAGGACAGAGATGAGAGCAAGGAAAGAGATATCTTGATTGAGGGAGCCATTATGGGGTTAGCAAGAAACCTGGCTCTAGAGAAATTCCCAGGAATCCACAAGGATGACCCCAGCTAAGACCCTAAGCAGTAGAGGAAAGGGGGGATGAACTGGTCTTGCCCTGTAGTCAGACTGATGACTATATTAAATCTTAAATATTAAATAGAACCTTCATTGAGCAACTGATGGAAACAGAGGCAGAAATCTGCATTGGAGCACTGGACTGAGCTCCCAAAGCCCAGTTGAAGAGTGGGAGGAGTAAGAATATGAGCAAAGTGGTCAAGACCGTGATGTAGATACCCACTGAAACAGTTTACCTGAGCTAATGGGAGCTCACCAACTGCAGCTGGACAGGGAAGGAACCAGCATAGGACCAAACCAGTCCCTCTGAATGTGGTTGACAGTTGCATGGCTGGGGCAGACTGAAGGGTCACTGGCAGCAGATCCAGGATTTATCCCTACACTTGTACTGGCTTTTTGGGGACCAAGGCAATTTATGCAAGGAAATATTTTATTTGGTTTATGATTCCAGAGGATCCGAGTCCATGAAAGTAGGACAAAGCACAATGACAGAAATGCAGCTGAAGCTCATGTCTTGACCTGCAAGTAGGAGGCAGAAAGGAAGGCACTGAGAAGTGCAAGACTTTTGAAACCTCTAAACCCACCCGTGGTGACACACTTCTTCTAACAAGGCCACACCTCTTAATCCTTACCAAACAGCTTCACCAACTGGCTACCAAGTATTCAAATGTAAGAGCCTATGCAAATCGTCCTTATTCAAACCACCATGCTCAGGCTGGCCGTTAATGTGAGCTAGGACACCATTTCTATTTCATTTCTATGCATTTAAAGGTTGCAAGTATGAATCTTTAAAGATGCTCTAACATGCCTGTCAGAATTTGCTTATCCCATTGTGGTTCGTCTGTGAGGTATCCCCTGTCTTAGGGTTTCTATTGCTGTGAAGAGACACCACGACAATGGCCACTCTTATAAAGGGAGGCGTTTAAGGTGGGCTGGCTTATGGCTTCAGAGTTTTATCAATACCTTTGTGATGGGAAGCATGGCATCATGCAGGCAGACATGGTCCTGGAGAAGGAGTGGAGAGTTCTACGTCTCGATCCACAAGCAACAGATAGAGACTGTGTGCTATATGAGACCTCAAAGCCCACCTCCACAGTGACATACTTCCTCCAACAAGGCCACACCTACTTCAACAAGGCCACACCTTCTAGTAGCGCCATTTCCTGTGGAGTAAGCATTCACGCACATGGGTCTATGGGGGCTATTCCTATTCAAGCCACCAAGCCACCCCCCACCAAATAGGCTTCTGTATTTGGGGCCTAGGTAGTGGCACCACTTTAGAAAGTTGTGTAACCACACTGGAGTCACCCTGGAGGCTGTCAATTGCCCTGTGTAAGGGTGTTGAAATGTGATAGCCTAGTCTTATTTCCCATTTTCTCTCTGTTTTCTGATGCTAGGTACAATGTGACATCATGTCCCTACAGTCATAGCTTCTCGGCTGTGATGGGCAGCATCCCCTCATCTCGAAGCCAAAATAAACCCTTCCTCCGGTAAGTTGCCTCTAGTCAGATCACGATAAGAAAAGCAACCAATACAAAGTCTAAGTGGTTTCCTGCCTAGAAATAAATGCCTGATGGGCAGCTATGTGTCCCTGGTACAGATGCATCACCAGTTCCCTTATGCAGCACTCTCAAATAGGTGCATGGTTGGAGGCCTGCACCAATTCGCCATCTTCCATTGAACTCACGAATCAAGGAACCCAATGGTAAGCCAGTATTCACTCCCTCTACCCATATATGTAAGCTGAAAAGCACAGCAGATTTCTGTCGCAAGTGTCACCATGTGTCCAGTTATTAAAAGAGAAGGCTAACACTTCTAGAACAACACTGCAGGGATTTCTCCATGACTTTTGCAATCCTGCTAGAGTTAAAGGTGCCAGATTTTCCAATGTGGACCCAAGATTCTGCTAGGATACAGGCAGGAATCTTGGTTCTTGTTCAACTTGATTTCAAGTAAGTTTGACTAGTAAGTATTTGTTCAATGGATCCGTGAGCAAAGCCCTCAGATAGGTGTTAATGTATTTCCGAAATTAAGGTCCCTGAAGGGCCATAGGAAAGTCTGGATGATGGCCTGCTGATACTTATAATTGGAGAGCATTTTAACTATCTTCATCTCTAAGACATCAATGTCCAGAAGGCTAGGAACTTTGGATCAGAGCTCAATAGCTTCAGAGTAGATGAAAAACAGCCAAACTTTTGATCACAGCCTAACATTAATTACGTTGCAAAATGTCAGCTAGATTTCATAAATAGCAAAATTAATTTTACTTTCTGGTTATGATACTGGGGATGGCATGTTGTTTGTCAAGTTCTTTAACAAGTGTGATACTAATTAGGATCAAAATGATTGTCGTGGAATGAGGTCAATATTTTGCAAAAATCATGACATCTGAAGGAAATTTGGGACAAACACGATAGTGTACATAAATGACCGCCTTCCATTATAAAGTAGAATAGAGAAAAGAAGTCAACAGCCCACAAAGAGTCTGTGGTTAGAAGTCAGAAGGACTTAGGCTCAAGGTGGGCCTCCTACTCTCTCATATTTTAATCTAGGGATGAAGATAATGTAGCTGCCAATTCATCCTTGAGAGCTCTGTGAGGTCCTGAGGAAGGGAAGCCATGCTGGGGAGGATTTTTCTGTTACAACCATAACCACAAGGAGCAGGGTGTGTTGTCTTCTTAGAGCATGACTTTCACTGGTTTATTTGCTTTAATTTTTATAAAAGTTATACACATAAATCACTTAAAAATTACGACAGAGCTTGATGCTGCTAAAAGTATCCTTCTGGAAAGTGTTCGTTTCAGGCAGGCCGGTTCCGTGGGTAAAGGCACAGGCTACCAAGGGTGACCGGAGCCAATCCCCAGGATCCCCATGGAAGGAGGAAAGCAAAAGGAAGCTGATCTTTTTCAGATTGCTGATGACAGAGTAATATAGCTGACGATGATATAACTAACATGGTGTTCATCAATCTTCCTAAGCTCTTTAATCTTTGATACCTGGCTGTAGACTCTTGGCTGTTCTACAGACACACAGTTGTCAACAGGGGTCAGCCTTTCCTTTGCTCTTATCACTTCTTAGTGGTCAAGCCCCTCCTGGGCTTCGTGTAGCCACATTTTGTATTTCACAAAGAAAATTTCCGCTTTAATTTTGAGTATGATATTCACTGTAGTATCTCAGTGGGAAGAAGAGTACTACTCTTAGCTATCTGAATAAAATTCTACTAAATAACGCATCTGAGCGGCTTGCACTCAGAGGTTTAAGTTTAGCATGTATGATGGCCTGGATTCATTTTCCAGAACCATAAAAAAAAATCAAAATAAACCCAAAGACACATTTGTTAGTTAAGTTCTCCAAACCTTTCTGTGTCCACTGAAGTAATCATGCACCTCTCTCTCCATTCATTAATTCCATGATTGGTTTTCTCAAGTTAATCTTGTATTATCAGAATGAACTCAGCTTAGTCCTGGTGTTCTATCTCTCTAAGAGAACTTGATAGCACAGAGAGACAGATTTTGTGGCTATGAGCACAGGTGAGTGTAGTTTCATCTGTCCCCCCTTACTTTCAGTGGCAGTGCTTGAGAGATGCTTTCAGTATTTGTTGCTTAAGAGAATGAATTGCTAAAGACTGTTCCCTTGTTCTGTTCTCTCGGTGGATGCTTTAGTCACCAAGGCCTTGAAGTGATGCTTTGTCTGTTGAACTTGTGTGAATATGCCCATGAATATTGGTTATAGAATAACTTAATGTCTGCAGGGTGACTCTTCTATTCATCTTCTAAATTCTGCTAAGGTGTGTTTTTCAAAAGCATTTCTACTTTGTCTACCTTGTCATTAACTTCAGTGTTATTTGTATGGTCTCTTTACGGTGTGAAGGAGTCCACAATCGATGATGAGGACATAAACTAGGCACAATGATACAAAGGTCATGAAAGAAGAGGAGAGTCAAGGGGTCTGAAAAGGCAGGACTTGGGTAGCAGAGGAAGTGGAGGTGAGGAAAGAATGCCACAAAAATGTACTTTGTTGGAACACTTCATAATGGTGTATAACATGCTATATGCTGATTTAAAAAATAAAACATTTTTGATCTTTTACATATACACTTACAACTGTGTGTGTGCATGTACACACCATACAATCTCTCAATCTCTGTCTCTCTCTGTCTCTCTCTGTCTCTGTCTCTGTCTCTCTCTCTCTCACACACACACACACTATAGGCTAAGGTACACATATGGAAAGAAACTTGCGGTTTTGTCTTTTTGAATTTGGACCATCTAGCTTAATATGATTTTTTCCCATCAATCCGTTTTCTTATAAATTTCATTTTTCTTAAAAGCTAGGTGTTATTCCATTGTAATATGCCCCACATGCTTACCATCCATTTATCTGTTGATAAACATCTAGGATGCAGCTAATTTATAATATTTTAAGTCGTGTTTATTTGTTTCCATTTCTCTTTCTTCTCAAGTTATATTCATTTTATTCATCTTTTCAGAGAGTTTTTTTTTAGTTTTAAAAATTCCTTTAATTATTTGTTTTTCGGTAGTGTTACTTTCTGTACTGACATTTACTATTCTTGCTACTTTTCATTCTTAAGTCTTGACATACTATACTTCCTTAGACAGGGGCATGCTTAACCTTGTGGGGGGAAGTTTTGGAAATATGCATAGACCTTTTAAGTGACACAAATAGGCGAAGATGTTACTTGGCCTTCATAGGTAAAAGTTAGAAATGAGAAACATCCCATAATACTCAGGATGACCTGCCACAACAAAGACTCCTTCAGCCTGAAGAGACACTTGGAAAGGCTAAGGGGAGCTCATTAAAGGCTCTCTGTGTCTTTGGAAACATAGTCTTTTGTTATGACTCAGTCAGTTGCTTTCTCATTGTCACTTTGATCCCTCCCTTAACCATGTAGATTCTGTACATTTCAAGTTTTACCTCCTAGCCTTATTTCCTTCCTTCTTTCTTAAAGAACATTTTAATTTCCTGCTCAGATGAGTTGCGATCAGAAAACTTTTGTATTTTATCGGCCCCTTGACATTCCTTGAGCCGTGCTGTGTCGCCCAATGAAGAATTAGCTTTGTTAGCACCTAGTTCCCACTGGGTAAGAAAGTATTTCACTGCCTGTTGGGTGAACAGCGTGATATTTATTAGATTAATTCATTTATTATAATTATGCTGGCGGTACTTTAGTTTATTTTGAAAAATTATCACAATTCCTTGGCAAATATTTCATTGGAAAGAGCTATATCTTACTACATTTCTCTTAGATTTTGTTTCATATATTTTAAAGCTGAATTTATGTACATGGAACTATGGAATTTCTAGCCATAAAACAAAAACACTTGTTCCTTCTTGGTGAGTCATTATAAATAGATCCTGTTGACCATTACTTTCTTTTGACTTAAGCTCTACTTTGATTTTATAAAACTTATTAATGTTTCTTTTGGTTAGTGTATCAGGTCCTGTCTTTGCTGTTGTTTGCTTTCAGCTGTGATGAATCCCTGTGCTGTGGGAATGTGTTTCATATGAACTGTCATGCATTAATGTACATAAATCAGGTCTAGACCTTATTTCGTCTATGCTTAATGTAGCTGGTGAGAAGTCCAGGTTCATGTTACCACGGCATGTATGTGTCTTCTTATTTTTACATTGAATCTAATGTGAACATGCTCAGAGGCACAGCCTCCAGTAAGTGATCATACCGTCAGAGAAGGAGTCATGGATTGGAGTGATTGTTTGTGTTTTAACAAATAAAGCTTGCCTGAAGATCAGAGTGCAGAACTAAACACTCGGATCCAGGCAGTGGTGGCACACACCTTTAATCCCAGGACTAGGGAGTCTTATGGATTTCTGTTAGTTCAAAGCCACCCTGGGCTACACAAAATTGATTCAGTATAAAAGAGAAACAGAGCTCATGCAAAGGTGATCACAACACTTGGGATCCCATGCCGTTAATCCCAGCACTAGGGAGGTAGAGACAGGAAGAATATAAGGTGGGAGGAGACGGGAGCACAATGCAGTCTGAGGAGCAGTGCAGTCTAAGGCAGTCAGAGGCCGCAGTCTGAGGACAGGATACTTTTTCAATCAGAACATTGGTAGAGGTGAAAGCTCTTTAGTGGCTGGCCACTTTGCTTCTCTGTTCTTCAGCATTAAACCCTATGCCTAACTCTGGGTTTTTATTATTAATACCAGTTAGAATTCATGCTGCAATGGATTGTCTTTGTAAACTGGGGGAGCAAGAGGATTCTTCCTCTCCTCCTCCACATGGGCACAGCACTGTGTTCACACTGCAGATGTCCACATGTACACAGGATTGCCCTCACACTGCATATGTCCCCATGCACACAGCACTGTGTTCACACTGCATATGTCCCCATGCACACAGCATTGTGTTCACACTGCATATGTCCCCATGCACACAGCACTGTGTTCACACTGCAGATGTCCACATGCACACAGCACTGTGTTCACACTGCATATGTCCACATGT